AAATAAGAATGAAAAATAAGAATGATGAAATTTAAAAATCAATAGCTTTCCATTTCTGACAGTATGACGACCAAGATATTTTGGACCATTCTACCACCAAAAATAACAAAAAATGTGGCTAAATCAGAAAAAAGCAATGGCCAGGCACTGTGGCTCACTCCTGTAATCCCAGCACTTTGGGAGGCCGAGGCAGGTGGATCACCTGTGGTCAGGAGTTTGAGATCAGCCTGGTCAACATGATGAAACCCTATTTCTATGAAAAATACAAAAATTAACCTGGCATGTTGACAGGCACCTGTAATCCCAGCTGCTGGAGGGGCTGAGGCAGAAGAATCGCTTGAACCCGGGAGGCAGAGGTTGCAGTGAGCTGAGATCACACCACTGCACTCCAGCCTGGGTGACAGAGGGAGACTCTGTCTCAAAAAAAAAAAAAAAAAAAGAAAAAGGAAAAAGAGAACAACAATGACAATAACGAAAACAAAACTAAAGGCATCAAAGAGCTAACAAGATGATAAGAAATAACCAAGCTAAAATCTGAGAGCAAGTAGAAACACAGAAATAGGCATAGTGACAAAGCCAGTATTATTTATTATTTATTCAAGATAATTTCTTGTTGTTGTTTTTTTTGTTTGTTTGTTTGTTTTTTGAGACAGAGTCTCACTCTGTCACCCAGGCTGAAGTGCAGTGGCACAATCTTGGTTCACTGCAGCCTCTGCCTCCTGGGTTCAAGCGATTCTTCGACCTCAGCCTCCAGAGTAGCTGGGACTACAGGCGTGCGTCTCGATGCCCGACCATTTTTTGTATTGTTAGTACAGACAGGGTTTTGCCATATTGGCCAGGCTGGTCCCAAACTCCTGACCTCGTGATCCACCCGCCTCAGCCTCCCAAAGTGCTGGGATTACAGGCATCAACCACCGAGACCAGCCGATAATTTCTAAATGTACTCTTACCTTGTGTGGTGATTTTGCCTCATATCCACATGTCTTGATAACCCTATGAACAAAGCCTCAACCCTGAATGGCTGTCCCTATTCCCTGGGGCCATTCAGCAAGTGAGCTAGTCTGGATAAGTGCCAATTGGGAGCACACCTTCCTGGGCATCTCAGAATTAGATCTGTTCCTTGACAGTCTTGACCACAGACAGCTGGACTCGCACAAGGGTGTGTTTGTGAAGTTTTAGCTGACAATATTGAAGTAGGATTGGGTAGGGTGTGGGGCGCACACAACAGTTAGAAAGGGGAAGGCAATCTATCATTCTTCCTACCTGCCTTATCCAAAACAAAGAGGGAGACGAAGCACGCATGATGCTTACCCTCAGCTCCTGGAGAAGCCAGGCTGCTAGGCTCAGTTCAGCCCTGCAGTCCTCTCTGTTACCGGAGTCACCACATGCCTACTTCCTGCTACCACCTCCTTGCCAGTGGATGCACTGGGCTAGGTTCAACTGTGCACACACCCTGCCCCAACAATCTGTTATCACTCAGTGCACTGAAAACACTTATTGCCCATACTCTTACATCAGTTAGGGCAGTTGTCCTAACATTTTTGGCACCAGGGACTGGTTTCATAGAAGACAATTTTTCTATGAACAGGATGGAGTGGGGGATGGTTTGGGGATGATCAAGCACATCACATTTATTGTGCACTTTATTCCTATTATTATTACATTGTAATATATAATAAAATAAGTATACAACTCACCATAATGTAGAATAAGTGGAACCCCTGAGCTTGTTTTCCTGCAACTAGACGTTCCCGTCTGTGGGTGATGGGAGAGACTGACTGATCATCAGGCATTAGATTCTCACAAGGAGTGCACAACCTGGATCCCTCACACATGCAGTTCACAATAGGGTTTGTGCTCCTATGATAATCTAATGCCACTGCTCATCTGAAGGAAGCAGAGCTCAGGTGGTGACGTGAGCCATAGGGAGTGACTGTAAATACAGATGAAGCCTCCCCTGCCTGCCAGCCCACTGTTCACCTCGTGCTGTGTGGCCTGGGGGTTGAGGACCCCTGAGTTAGGGAGCTTCTGTCTCCAAGTTACAGAAAGTTCATCTCAGATGGACTTAGACAATACAACGGGACATTGTGGCTAATAGTTCTACTGAGGGTTCTCAGTTTACTCACTAAAAGTTGATTCTGACTGATTTACCTAATATGCTTTCAATTTGAAAGCATATTAGGTAGCTCAAAGGCTAGATGGGAAGAACCACTTCCAAAATCAGGTCCTAGCACCTAATTTTGGTAAACACAGTGCTGCTGGTGGTCCTACATTCTGTCTTCAGAAGCAGGATACCAACTGCTACTCCTGAAACTGTTGCCATAGGTGCTACTGCTGCCACTACAGGTGCCCCTACCAACGAATTCTCCACTGCCCTGGTAACTTCATTTCTCTAGCTTGGGATTCGCAGTACCTCACAGGTTGGTCTGATGGCCAAATGGAGAAGGAACGCCTGTGCCTTAGCTGTGAAGCTGCCTGGAACTGACATATGGTCCTGGCTGTTTCTACATTGGAAGGCATCTGTCCCTCAGTGGTATGCATGTGGTGAGATATCCCCAAACTTAGGAGGTGTTGAAAAGCAGGTCCAGGCTTCACATCCCATACCACAGTCATTAAAAAAGAGAGAGACCATGTGTGTCCTAGAAGTCCTGTAAAAGTCCTCGGCTTCCTGCTGAGTTCACATGTCCAGTCCCTGTGACCGTAAGAGTTTCATGAATTGTCAGAACCCATCAGTTCAGCCTAGAGGTTGGGATTACTTTGATTGGTTTAGGACAATTAGGGATCATCCAGAAGTGGGGATGGGGCATCTATCCCATGCAACTAACATGACTTTTTCAAAATGGGTTGAGGCTTAACAGATGCTCGTGAGAAAACACTATAGCTTAAGCAACAGAGCGAGACCTTGTCTCAAAAAAACAATAAAAACAGTGAGAAGGTAGCACTGTTTTACGTTTTTACAAATCTCTTTAATGTCTGGCCCAATAGAAGACAGCTGGATTCATATATTCTACTTTTACTTTAATTTGTTGCAATGTTTAGTTGAAGTAGATTAAAAAAAAATTGACTCATACAGATATGAAGTAGGAAAATGGAAGGATATTTTAATAGCTTTTTCAGATAATTGAAAATATTATTTTGTGAGACTACACAAGAACTTCATAAGTGGTAGTTGCTTAAAAATTGGTTGTAATACAGAAGCTGAAACCATATTCATGAACATTTTAACTCTGTTACATTAAAATCCATTGGTGTCTTCTGCATTTTGAATGGATCTTTTGTGTGTACATGATTTTGGTCCCATGAACCTACTGAAAAGGTCTTGGGAACTCCAAGCGGTCTCCAGACCACACTTTGAGAACTGCTGGTATGAACTATCAAACACATTTTGCCTGTAGCTACTTCATCAAGCAGCTATCTTTATTGCAATCATCCCTCTTCCCATGAAACACAAATAAAGAACATTATCCACAAGGTCATTCATTACATCAACAAAAACTGTACTTATTTTTTCTAATCCTCAATCCTTAAATCAAGGAAACCAAGGAACACAATAAACTGTTGTTTCAACTGTGTTTCTACAGAAAACATGGCTATTTCTCATACTGCTCTTAACCGAACATACTGGCACTAAACTGAAGCTGGGGACACAGAGAAAACTATGACAGATAAGGTCCTTGCTCATGCGGCATTTACAGTTTTACAGTGAGGCAGACAGACAATAAGTGAGTAAATCAATAAACAAAGATGATAATTTCAAGTAGGGATTAGCATTATGAAGAATACAAGAACCTTCACAAATTCCAACCCTGATATTGCCTCAGAAGCAAGAGAGGAGTGTACCGATTTGCAAGTCAATATAAATCTAGGTAAAAACCATAAGAAACCCCTGGGCAGAGAGAAGGGGTGGCTGTGACCTGCTGTGGGCAAACTATAGGTTGAGCAGAGGAAGTCACTGGTAGGACATGGTGCAGGCAGAGCTGCAGGCTGTTTCCTCTCTCCAACCACGGTCCTTGTCAGTTAATCGCCTGGCCTGGCACCACCTTGAGACAAAATATTTGATACACAGAGGTGATGGAATGGTATCAGGGCAGTGCCACAGCCTGGCCAGGGTGAGGAACAGGTAACAATGAGAGCATCTGAACCCTGAGCAATTCTACCCCGTCAAAAGGAGGATACTTATAGAGGAATTGTTTACGGAATTTGGGAGCTGACTGTATCTGCAGCAGGAATGAATGCACACTACAGAATACCAAGGATCTTTTAGAAGCAATGAACCAAGTGTACATACATATATAACAGATACTGATGGGTCTTTAGAACACACCAGTGAATACAAAACATAATAACCAGAGCAAGGTCTACTGCACAATACTATTTGTGAAACATATAATATACCAAATAATAACTTACATTTGACAATATTACATTTTTAGACAAGGATATATATGTAATGCCTTATGGTGAATGAATATGTGGAAGGGGAGGTAATGGAAATGGAAACCAGGGATGAATGGGGAAAATATCCACGAAAGAAATGTAATAATGGTATACCATGAACTGAGGTATGTGATTGACTTAATACTCTTCACATGAGGCATAACAATTAAAGAAAGAATGGAGGAGTAGGAGGGAATTTATTAGCTGGTGTCTGGACTGCTAGTGGAGTGATCAACATTAAATAGGGTAGTCAGAGAAGGCTTCTCTGAAGAGGTGACATCTAGGCTGACGTCTGAGCTATGTGCCCAGTCATGTGATGGTCTAGGGATGTACACTCCAGGCAGAAAGAATAGCATGTGTTAAGATGCAGTAACAGAAACATGACATCCTTGAGGAACAAGAAAAAAGACAGGTGTGGTTGTAGCACAGTGAGCACATTGAAGTTGAGGTTTAATTTTGAAAGATGATCTGGCAAAGTATTTCCTCATTGCTAAGTCTATACATACAGTTTGGAGTAATCAGTTTTCACAGAATTGGTAATTACTAGGGAGAAGTGACGTCCTCTCTGGGCTTATGATGATCTGGCTGTGACAGGGAAGTGAGGTGTGAGCACCAGGCAATCAGACAGTGGCAGAACTAAATTTGCTCTTACAGGTGCAGAAGGAGCCAATTCTCACTACTGGGAAGACAGAAATGTTAGCAGGTACACACCTGCCATGCTGAGTACCCCATGCTGAATCCTGGACAGCCCCTGTGAAGGACTGGTTCGGCAGGGCTTTTAACACTACCTGTCCCCACTGTGGTCCTGCTTACAGCTTGTGCCCTCAACACTTCCTAGGCAACAGGTTCCAGCTAGGGCCATTTTGTGTATCAAAAATACAAACCTTAGGTATTCACTCCGTCTTGGGGTATTGATCTCTTGTCTCCCTGCCAAGTGCTGAACTGCTCCTTTTGCAAAAGAAATCAAAGAACAATAATAAGCTGTTTTTCATGAACGGAAAATCCTTGAGGACAGGGACCTACTCTACTTTGACTTCCATCTAACTTTGTGCCTAGAAAAAGTGTCAGGCCCAAGGTAGGTGCTCTATAAAATGGGTTGAATGAGTTCACATACACACACACACACTCCGACTAGAATTCATCTTTCCCAAGATAACTGGCATTAATATAGCTTTGCTCAACACCAATTATTGCTCACAAAGAATTAGTTTTCCTCACTGGAACTATTATGGTCATAATAATAATGTTTATTGAGCACTGTGGGCCAGATGTTAAATCATCTCATTTAAAACCCCTGATAACCCTATGACTTATGTACTATCCCATCTTTATCTAAAAGAGAAGAAAAGATGAAGTTTAAAGAGACTTAGTAACTGCTACATGATGGCTAGAGTTGGGCTTTTCATCCCAGGGTAACCTGACCCCAGAACTCTTAGCCGACCTTCTGAAACTCAAGCCAATTTTACATAATAAAATATATTAAAGTTATACCTGAAACAACTGCTACTCTTCTGAATATCACTTTTTCTTTTGTACACTAATCATTGGCATCTACATATTTAAGCATTTCTTAAGGAGCTCATTTTTTCACAATATTGTACATTTAAAATACACTGTGTACATGACAGCTTGCAAATGAGCAGCAGAGAAAGAACAGAAGTGAAATCTATTCTTTGCACTGAGTCTGTGTTTGCTTTAATTCCAGTTTCCAGTTTTGAAAGCACTTTTTTGTCTATTTTTTCTTTGTACTGATAGTTTAATCATTTATTTTGTGATAAAACAATGAGCATTGTGACAATTTTACTGCAGTAAACATTCTTTGTCTGAGTCTAGGTTTCCTAGAAATTATAGTCTGAGGCAAAATGTACATTCTAAAGCTTTACTAGAGGGGTGCAAACCAAAGGGAGCAGAAGAGAATGGGGCCAGGCCAATGAGGCAGGAAGGCAGGGAAGCAAAGAGAAGATGTCTTATTACTGATCTGGACTTGCTTCCCTAGAAAGCACTATTGGTTGCTCTGTCTCCTGGAAGTTTCCATAGAGGCCACATGGAAACATTTCTTGGAAGAATCCTTTGGGAGAGAAGAAAAGGAATAATTTATCTGTGGGTTATCACCTATCCTCTGCCTCTCAGTAGTTAAAAATTTGCTTTACTGGGGCTGGGTGCTGTGGCTCACACCTGTAATCCTAGCACTCTGGGAGGTGGGCAGATCACTTGAGGCCAGGAATTGGAGGCCAGCCTGGGCAACATGGCGAAACTCCATCTCTACTAAAAATATAAAAATTATCTGGGTGTAATGGTGGAACCTGTAATCCCAGGTACTTGGGATGCCAAGGCACAAGAATCTGAACCTGGGAGGCAGAGGTTGCAGTGAGCCAAGATCATGCCACTGCACTCCAACCTGAGTGACAGAGTGAGACTATGTCTCAAAAAAAATTTTTTTTGGGGGGGGTGTTTCACTGGGTATTAACTTTTAGCATTGTTATCTGGCCTCTCGTAGGAGTCTCAGAACACAGGGTAAGTCACTGAGGAGGCATAAGCAAGGGACAGTTCCTTTCTGCCTGCAGCCTGGGGTCTTGAAGCCCTATCAGGCCAGTGTGCCCCCAGTGGTCTTGTTGTGTCTTGCACCTGGTGACAGGGAGGGCACAGGGTAGGAGGGAAGAGGCCTGTGGTGTGAGACAGGAGGTCGTGTGATCTTGGGCTGTGCCATAGAAGACCTGGGACACCTGGAGCAGCGGGCAATAGGCCCAGCTGGCTAAGCAGGAAGAGCACTACAACAGCATGGCTTCTGCAGTGAGGGAGTTCTAAGAGCTTCTCCACAACAGTGACCAAAACCACCTCTCTGCCGCTCAAAAGAAGGTGATCTTTTTGGAGGGTCATTCGTAGCACTGAGCAAAAAACCATACTGAGGATCAATAAGCTCGAACTGTCAGAATGTTTTCATCACATGTCTCCTGGTGCACACACAGGAGATTTTTCTTCTGTGACTATCTGTAAGTATAGTCTCTGTAAGTGCACACTTCTAAATAATAGCTTTAAATGGCTGCTTGTCAGTAAGTTTGGTTCTTTTCTTTTCTCATAAATATGTATAAAACTCATCTATCCATCCTTAAATTCAGCCTGGGGGAAAGTATCATTGAGTGTCCCTATCACAATTGCCTCCTTGTTGAACTGGTAATAGATGTTTCTTAGCAAACTCACAGGGAAACTAAAACTAAGCATTAAATGCTCAGAGATATTTTAAACTTGGAGAGGCTATTTAAATCCACGTTACTTTTAAAACCAAATTTTCCATCGTTTCCAGGAGAGGGCACAAATTCATCTTATTCTTAGTGCTTTTCACCACCTTTCTTGACTTCACCCTACACGCACGCGTGCGTGCGCGCGCGCACACACACACACACACACACACACACACACTCATACAAACATGAACACTCTCTCTCTTATTTTATAAAATGACTGGTTATCTATTAGTCAGTTTATGCAGCCATTTCAGAACCTATGCAAAGCAACTTTGAACAGACTCTTCATCCTGCTGCAAGATCCAGAATGTCAACTGGGGCTTCTTGAGGTTCCCAAGTAGAGCTGGGTCCACTAGTGCTAAATCCATATGGTTTTAATTTACAGTCCAGTCCCTATATCATTTTTCCCAATTGCTTATGGCATTGGTGAACCAACAGCAGTAATAGGAGACACATTTTCTATAGAGAATTTTAAAACAATAATAAAATGGACGAAAAGCTGGTTTGATTTTTCTGTATTCACACATTGGCAGTTCTACACAATGTCAAATACTCTCCCTGTCCCTGTTAAATCTTTTGTTGGTCTGCAAAAAATTTCTGTGGTTATTATTCAATTTTGTAATATGTAAAATCAGCAATGTTACTGCTTATCTCTTAAACACATTTTCTCCTTTAATAATAACTTCTATGCAGGTGTTAACTCACAGAAGTCTTGACATAAATGGACTTATCTACATGCTCTTGTTTGAGAGTGAAGTTCTGCATGGTCAGAATCATTCACATTTGTGCTTGCTTTGGGTACACTTCATGCTCCAACCCATGTGGAACTATCTGCTTCTGCATTTAAACATTGGATTTGGAATAAGCAATGACAGTAGAGCAATTGTGACAGAATTTGGGCTACCTCCATTCTCTCTCATTCAATTTAGCTCTCTCATAAAAATGCACTTGGTGTTTTTATTCATAATTAAAATTTAATAAAGCAGTGTAAACCAAAAGGTATAATCTTTTTTTGGTAACTGCAAGTTTATTTCACATGTGCAATATTTTACACCTTTGAAAAATATCTTTAAAAATTGAAATTGATGTCTTCTTTATTGTTCTTTTTCTTATGTAATTACTATTGTGCTGTAATGTTATTCTTTTTATGGCGGCCTAATATGTAGGTATATGTCTTTTCTCTTTTGTTTGAAAAACATTAATGTAATTAAAAGTATTAGTCCATTACTTCCTCCTGTTTTGATACTATATAATGTATTTTATTATTTTAGTTTTCATTTTTATTGGCATTATTACATGTACAAAGTTCAATAAAATAAAAATCTCACCATGTTTCTTTTCAGTCCATTTTTATTTTTATTCATTTCATTATTACTACCAAAAATAATGCTGTATGGAGTAGTGGAGTATTTAAAAATGATCTGCTTCATACACCAGTCACACAAGGCACACCCTGCTTCCTTGCAGATCCTCAGGAGCTGCCCTGCCTGAGAAGACTGCCCCCTGCTGCTTGGTGTGAATTCACCCATGAGGCTTATAAACCAAGAATTAACCCTCACTCTACCTTAAACTCGCTCTTTTATTCAGAGAGATACGTCTAACTACAGTGTCAGTTTTGTCTTGGTTCACACAGATCCCTGGGAACACAGTGAGCAATCAACACATTTTTGTTGAATGAAAGAAGAAATGTGATGTTACTCTGCACATATTGGAGAGTATTTATGTCCACGTGTGGGTGTTTACAGCACAAAATAGGAGGCCTGTCAAGAGTGAACATCACATATTTTACTTTTCTTGCACCCCCCTCCCCACTCCCCAACTGTGGCCAGAGACTCTACAGACAATTTGCAAGCTAACTAACAAATTGACTTAGGTCAGAACTCAAAATACTATTCCAAAAATATTAAGAATGGCCAAGGAGTTAAAATTCAATCAAATAAAATCCCATTTTTAATCTTTTATTAGCATACTAGTTTTTTGTATGGGGGAGGAGGGGTTACTCATTCAAAAATAAAATTCTCAACTTATTACAAGATACTATAACTGATACTAATCTTTGCCAACTGTTAATCACTTCTTTCTCATTCATATAATCTAATATATATTAGAATTACAAAACATAATTACCATTATATTTGAAGTAGGAAAGGTGGGGGAAATGTAGCTTTTTAATTAAAGACTCTGAGCAACTCACCTAAGATAGCCTTTCAAAGATATAAAACATTAAACAGCCAAAAGCTTACACAGTCCAGCCTGAGTGTGTAAATAAAGAAGGCAGTGCCCAGAGAGTATAGAGTTGTCGAGTCTCACAGAGTGAGGGTACAGCCAGGACCAGAAGCCTGCAATCCCAACTTCTACCCCAGTCTCTCAACCTACATGGCACAACTTCCAATGTAGAAGAAAACTACTCTATTTGTGTTTGTTGTATCAAATTGTTTAAAGTATTTAAGATACATGCTTTAGATATCATTACACTGGCAGATAACAATATACTGAGTAATAAGAATTTGAAGATGATTTATAGAATCACTGATTATAACACATACATTAACAAGAGAGAATGAATAAATATTTATTCTCTACCACGCCCATGACACATGGCTATTCCCTACAGGACTACTGAATGAACAAATAATAGCACGCACTTACATAACGCTCACCATAAGCCAGTCTGGTCTAAGTGCTTTACATTCATTAAGACATTTA